CTGTTCCATTAGAGAGACCTAGTCTCACGGCCGCACTTGGATGTATGGAGACTGGGCAACGTGTCCCTGGCTGAGCAGCCGTCTGTCAGCTCTATGGATGAAGAAGCATGAATGTTTGGTTGCAATTATCTTCCTTCCTCTACAGTGAAGACTAAGCGCTTATTGAGCTTGCTATTTAATGTAAATTGTCCACCAGACCACATATTTTAAGTTAGAAACGTCACAGTCTTAGGTAACTTTTCAAAACTTCATCTAGAAAGTGGAAGAACAGTTATCAACCAAAGCACAGGCATTAATTGACATGAGCTCGGGATAGGGCTTGGAGCAAAGCCTTAGAGTCAGAGGCTCTAAATCCCGAATGCAGTTACTATTTGATCACAGGCAAATTAGCCTCTTTGAGACTCCGATTTCCCAGTAGCGAAATGGGCAACGTAACAGCCACCTTGCAGATGATTAGCAGAGCGATATGCATATGTAGGGGTCCTAGCAGGCAGGAGGTAGCAAATAAACAACGACTGCTATTACGATGTTTTCTGAACAAATGTTTCTTTTTTTTCTTTTTATTTTTAATTGACACATCATGGTACATATTTACAGGGCACAGTGTGATATTTCGATACATGCATACGACATGTAATGATCAAATCAGTGTTATTCGCATAGCAAACATATTTCATTTTGTTGTGTTGGGAACATTCAAAATCTGCTCTTCTATCTATCTGTATATAATAAATTATTAATTTATATAATATTCTACTGTATGTTTTTAAATATACAATATAAATTATTAATTTATTGTATCCTCTCATCCTCCCAATTATTAATTATAGTCACCCTGCAGTGCTATCAAACATGAGCACTTATTTGTCTTACCTAGCTGTAATTTTGTACTTGTTAACCAACCTCTGGCTATCCCCATCCCCTCCCCCAACCTCTAGTAACCACAGTTCTACTCTCTATTTCAATGAGATTAACTTTTTCAGCTTCCACATATGAGTGAGAACATGTGGTATTTGTCTTGCTGGGCCTGGCTTATTTCTCTCAACACAATGTCCTCCAAACTCATCTATGCTGCCTGAATGACAGGATTCCTGAATGATTTCTTGAGAAAGCGAACATACCTTCTTTCTTTTAAATTGCTTTGAAAATAGAAAGTGCAGTGAAGGCCCAGTAATGAGCTTTATGTAAATAAAAGATGTAGGAGAGTGTGGATGTCACACTTTCAAATGCCACCGTTACTACATCTGTCCTGTATCCAGAACAAAACCAGAAATCAGAGTCTAACCAAGCAGTATGATTAAACTGCTTAAAATTGTCCCAGGCCAGACGCGGTAGCTCATGCCTGTAATCTCAGCACTTTGGGAGGCCTAGGCGGGTGGGTCACCTGTGGTCAGGAGTTTGAGACCAGCCTGACCCACATGGTGAAACCTCGTCTCTACTAAAAATACAAAAAAATTAGCTGGGCGTGGTGGCACATGCCTGTAATTCCAGCTACTTGGGAGGCTGAGGCAGGGGAATCGCTTCAACCAGGGAGGCGGAGGTTGCAGGGAGCCAAGATCGTGCCATTGCACTCCAGCCTGGGTGACAAGAGTGAAATTCCATCTCAAAAAAAAAAAAAAAGACAAATTCTAGTAGGATCCATGGAAGATGAAAAGCATCATATTAATATCCACGATTTATTGAGTGTATATATTCTAGCCCTTAATCTTCATACCAACCCTGTGGGATGTATTACTGGTATAACTGCTAATACCACACACATTGTTACCATCACCACTTTGCAGATTAGAGAACTGAGGCATAGAGGGGGAAAGCAATTATCCAAGATGATCATAAGTGGTGGAACAGGGATTTGAACCCAGTCACTCTACCTCTAGATCTCAAGCTCTTCATCAAGGAGCCTGGGCTCTTGTTGGAGAAAATCCTTTAGCGATGTGAAAACATTCACACACAGTGCCTGACAGCATTGTGCTGAAGTGTGGTTCCAATTATAAATGTGGTAGGAATTCAGTCTGGAGAGGAACTCCCAGTGCCTGGGCATGACTGTGTGCTACGCATTGTACTGGGTGTTTTTCATCCTTCCCATTTAAGGAGATGGAGCATGGCATATATGGAAGGAGAAGAGGGGGAGCTTTGGAACTGGACAGGTAGGGTTTAAATCCTGGTGCTGCCATTTACAAACTGTGTAACCTCTGGGAAATTACTTAACTATTCTGATACGGTTTCTTCGATTGAAAATAGGGATTGTAAACAGCTACTTTACAGAGGAGGGTTCACTGTCACAAAACAGTACCAGCCTATGGTAGAGCAGATGCTGTTGATTCAATAGATACTGATGAAGTCCCACATATCTGGGAGTAACACTATCAGCCAGAATAAGCCAGGTTATGCTGCTTTAACAAATCCCACTGGCTTAACATAAATAAAGTTTAATATTTGCTGACGCTACTTTTCCAAAACAGATTGGCTGGGATTTTCTGCCATCTTTACACAGAGACTCAGCTGGCTTGGGGAGGCTCCAACTTTGTACCACCATGATTGTCAAGACAGGAAAAAGAAGACATGGGGATTTGGTCACTGGCTCCTAAAGTTTCCATGTGAAAGCAACACAATCACTTCTGCTCTCATTCCATTGGCCTAAGCAAGTCCTATGGTCACATCTAACTTCAAGAGGATGGGGTAGTGGATTTCTACCACATCCCAGGGGAGAGGAAAAAGTAGAAAACATTTTAAAATACTACTGCAGACACAATGTGTTTCTCTCTACAATAGATCTGCTAATCCGTATCTTAAGAGGAAACCCAAGTTCTGAGAGGTTAAGTCATTTGTGCAAGGTCACACAGCCAATCCTCTGTGAAAACAGGACTCAACACATACCACTCACCCTGACTGTAGGATCTATAGGGACAACGTCCACAAACTTTGTATAGAAAGCAGAACAGTTTCAGGATGGGGGGCAGGGAGGTCCTGCAGAATAGGAACTGAATAGGCATGATGGTAGACAGAATAGGAATTGAATAGGCATGATGCACCTTTGTGTTCATGTTCTGTGATTGATCCTGGGAAAGGGAAGAAGGGGCAGGGGAGTTTGTGTCAAACATCAGTAGAAGAAAAGTTTGGACAGGTAAGAACATCACGCGTCAGAGTACAGCAGAGACACACGTGTGGAGGATGAGGGCAGTGTTTCAGGCCATTACTCTGGCAGCAGTGAGGAGGCTCCCGGGGAGGGCGGGCTGTTGCAGTAGTCCGGGGTAAGGCGAGGAGGGGTAGACAGGAATGAAGGCGGCAGGAATGCAGAGGAAGGGCTGGACCTGAGAGCTGCAGAGGAGGCTCCAGTAAGGTCCACTGGTGGAAAAGAATCGCCATGCGATTTGCAGAACACCAGATATTCTTCAGCCTTCACTCTTCCCACCCCAGTCTGGTATATTGCACCATTTGTTTAAAAAAAAAAAAAAAAATTCCCCAAGACCTCTTTTTCTCTAGCTTTCTTCCTTATTTTTCATGGTCTCTTCTTAGAAGGGGGGCAGTCACACCGCGGTGGGAGGCCCTTCCTGCCTGACCCTTACCGTGCGGGGTACCGTTCCTGTCACCATCGCCAGGATCTGGCTGGCCCTTACAGTGAAAGGAAATCTTCCAAGGCCTAAGGAGGCAAGAGGCCTTCAAGTCGCCTCCTGCTCAGCAAAGGGGTTGCTCAGCAGGCCGGGGTTCCTGGTCCACCCCAGGTCCCTGGTTTGCCCACCTCTGATGGCGGCCTTCGCTGGCAGGGTGGGCGCCTCTGGGGAGCCAACTCCATCCTGGCGCCTTTAGAACCTCATTTCTTCCACGTCCCCGGCCTTCCTCCCCTTCCAGGCTGCTGTCCCTGCCGGGGTCCAGATAGTGTCCGAGGGCCGGCGGTTCGACGGCGGGCCCGGGGTTCAGCCTCCCGGCCTCCCTCGTCCCCGACTCTCCTTTCTTCGGAGAGGGCGCGGGGGCTGGGGCCAAAGCGCCGCTCTTGGGATTCTCCTGGACTCGGAGGTGCCCCAGGCGGGCGCAGCTCTGCCCCGCGGGGTG